CCAGGCTGGCCTCGAACTTAGAAATCCACCTGCCTCTTCCTCCCAAGTGCTGGGATTAAAGGTGTGCGCTACCACTGCCCAGCTCAGCTTTTTTTCTTCCCTGTGTCTGTCTGTCTGTCTGTCTCTCTCTCTCTCTCTCTCTCTTTCTCTCTCTCTCTTCTAGATCAGATCTTTCACTGAAACCTGGGATTTGCTGTGTAAGCTAAGCTAACTGGCTAGCTACTCTCAGATCTACCTGCCCCATCCCCAAGTATATCCTGTGGATTGTAGAGATGGCTCAGTGGTTAAGAGCTTTGGCTGCTCTTCCAGGGAACCTGAGTTCAATTCCCAGCAACCACATGGTGGCTCACATCATTTATACTGGGATCTGACGCCCTCTTCTGGCACACAGGTGTACATGCAGATAGAGCACATAAAATAAGATCCTAAAAACCAAGTACGTCGTAGAATGCGCCTCACCAAGGGACGGTCTCCTTAGGCCCTTCTTTTCCACTTTCTAAGGCAGGGTCTTCTTCTTCTTTCCTGGAACTCATTGTGTAACCAGGATGGCCTTGAGCTCAGAGATCCACCTGCTTCTGTTGCCTTTTATTGCTAGCATAAAACGTATGCACCGCCACACCTGGCTTGAGTCAGAGTCTTCTTACGTAGCCAGGGTTGGGCTTGAATTCCTGGCAGGCCTCCACTGACTTCCTGAGTGGTAGGATTACAGTAATATACCATCACACCCAGCAGGATTTTCCCTTATTCTTGAGATTCATTTCCACTACTTTCTCCTCTCTTTCTCCTCTTCTCTTCCACTTCTTCTCCTGGCCATATTTGTATGAAGAGAATGTGCCTAATATCATGTCTCTACCAAGATATCTCTCTCTGTCTCTCTCTGTCTCTCTCTCTCTGTCTCTCTCTCTCTGTCTCTCTCTCTCTGTGTGTGTGTGTGTAAAATATATGTCACTGTTTGTAAAAGCTTATATGGCCTTTTGTTAAAGACTATAATGGATGCTTCAATATACTTCAACTCCTCCTCTCCTTCCCAGGGCTAATTAAGAGCTCGGAGCCTGTCCCCATATAAGGTCCTGTCTGGGGATGTTGTTGAACATTGTTGCTTCCCCACCTCCTCTGACTCTTCTGAGCATATTTAGAGCTGGTGGTTTCCTCCAGCTGTCAGCTGGTTGCTCTTGCTGCCAAAGATTTTGGCTTCTTCCCCTACTACCCTCCCCCAGCAACAGTCAATGGGGAAAGCATTCAATTGGCTCAGAAACATCATCCTCATAGCCAATAAAATGTTAATCCATGCCCTCACCCCCCTCCCAGACAAGCTCTGACCAATGAGATACTGCTTTTATTATTGTCAAGCTGGTATGTCAGAGAGAGAGAGAGAGAGAGAGAGAGAGAGAGATTGATTGATTGTATGGGAAGGACAGAAGTGGAACTAGAGCTCCCTGGCTCTCCACCGCCACCACCAAAATAGTGATTGGACAAAAGCCCAGATTTCCTCTGCTCTAACCACAGAAGTGAGCGTGTCAGAGGCAGGCAGCAGGGCTGGGAGGACTTGACCCACATCCTACAGTCTCCTTCCCGGCTCAGCTGAACCCTCACGCATAGCATTGCCATCTGATGAAATGAGACAATCTGAATTCAGACTTCTTCAGGGAACATGGCCCTTCAATCACTGCCTCTTCTTTGTCAAGACTCTCCCTGTCCCTCCTTCCATCTTTACAGACACCAAGCCGTTGTGGCGCCCTCCTCTCCCTTCCTGTCTGCCCTCTTCCTGCTCTTGCTTCTATACCACATCATAGCTCAAAACTACAGAGGCAGCACTTAGATGAACTGAAGATTGAGCTCCTCCTGGTCCATATACAGAGAGCTATCTTCCCTCGTCTCCACTTCTAGCAAAAGCTTGCTGGACTCTTGACTTCAGGATAGCTATTATGTGAAGCTTATATCCTGACTCTGGAGGGCAGAACATGGAAGTTCATTCCTGAAAAAGGTCAGGTGTTGACCGGCATTGAGAACTGGGATACCCATCTTTTTGAAGAGCTAACTGTCTCTGACCCTTTTTCACCACACAAACCCACCCACTTCACCAATCAACTATCAATCAATCACAGAAGTAGCCTTTAAACTCAATACTTTTAAATTTTATTTATTTATTTACACTTTGTGGATATCAGTGTTTTGTCTGCATGTATGTCTGTGTACCACTTGCATGCCTAGCGCCCACAGAGAACAGAAGAGAGCACTGGCTTCCCTGGAACTGGAGTTGAGGATGGCTGTGAGCTGCTGAGACTCAAACTCAGCTTCTCCGGAAGAGCAGCCAGCACTCTTAATGACTCAGCTGTCTCTCTAGCCTCCATACATTTTTAGAGAGAAAAAAATTCTCTACCTCCTCTTCCTCCTCTTTTGAGACAAGGCTTCACTAGCAAGACTTGCCTATGCTATGACATAGCATCAAAGGCTGGTCTTGAAATACTGACCTACCTGTTTCTACCTCCCAAGGAGAAAATGTCTTTGTGCCAGTAAGAACCCTACCTGGTGAACAAAGTGGTTTTTCTTTAAAGTAACATGTGACAATGACTTACAAAGTAAATTGCCAAGAACCCTAAAGAAATGTGAGAAGGGTTACCATAATGACCTACTCTCCAAAGCCCAAACAACGTTCCTCCTTCCCAAGCCCTTGTGCTCAGGGCTCTGCAAAGTCCATTTTGCCTTTATCTTACAGCTCCGTACTGTCCCCATGGATTCTCTTTGTAAGCATGCGCTGCACAACCTCTTCCCCAGGACGCAGCATGAGTTCTTTAAGGACGTGGCCATATAATCATTTGTGTTTTAACTTCACTTCAACAAAGCTCTGCTTGTACCATGAGTTCATAGTATTATGTTCCATAAACATACTGTTGGTCCAATCTTACCACCTAGATGAAGCAACTAAAGATGCCACTGTCCTGTTCCTGCCTCCCCCTGCCTGGTTGGTAGAAGCACCACGAGACCCACCAGAGAGCAAGTATGGGACTGGAAGCAATGCTTGCTAAAGAGAGGAGCGTAGCCAGCCCTTCCTCAGGGCTACAGAGGGAGAGCAGGCACTGTGCTCGACAGTGTAAAGCACAGAGTACTCTGTAATGCTCTGCCTTATGTAGAACTTGACCAGCAAAGCCTGGTCCCAGTGAATACAGCACAAACAGCCTGGACCTCTGTGCCTGCCTCTCACCCTCACGCCCCTGCACTGCATCTCAGGTCATATCAAGCAGTTCCCATTGAAGGTGTCATGGCAGAGGAAGATGCCTTTAGTTTCTCTGCAGTCCACCCTCACCTCAGGGTCTTGCTTGCCTACAGCTCCTTCCCACCTCCACAGGCAGTTTCCCTCCACAAGCCTAGCAGTTCTGCATTTGCCACTTAACATCCGAGACTCTCCACTGACACGTGCAAGGCTGACTAGATTATTCCTCTAGGAAGGGAGCTCCATTTCAGCCAGCGATGCTCCTTGCATTCCACCACCACTGGACATGTCTCCACTCTTGTCAGATCTTTTTTTTTCTTCTCCTTTGCTTTATTGCTTGTTGCCTACTAGACCACATCCTGTTCCTCTCATTGAATTCCATCCTAATCTTGTGTCTTCCAAGATGTTGGCTGGGCTTATGTTGATTGATTTTGGAGTCACTGTCCCAGCCAGTCACTACAAAGGTCACCTCTCATGTCACAACAGCCTTTACTGTTTGAAAAATCCTTGAGCACAGAGCAGTCCTGTAGAGCAGTTATTACTGGTCCATTCCACAGACTTGTAACCCAACGTTATGGATCAGTACTTGCCCAACACCACCTAGTAATAAGATGCTGAATCCTAGCTCAAGGTCAGATCCACCAGCTCCTGGAATGCCAGGATGCTACTACATCATCCCTTCTCCGTCCCTTCTGCCATTCTTACAACTAAGCACCTGTTTGTGTCGAGGGAGTTGTTGGGTTTTGTTCTTGTACTTTCATGTTCTTGTTGACTATCCTTGCCAAGTGTTTATTATGTCTACAGCAGGTGCTTATGTGCTTAAAGAAGTAATGGACAGGATTGCCATCTGACAGTCTGAACTCTTTCCAAATCCTAAACACGGTACTGCCAATCAAAGGATCTGGGCCTGGGACTAAAGATAGGCACAAGTGAGGTGAATCCTTGTGGACTTCCCAGTGCCTTGCAGAGCCTCTACAGAGAGTGACTGTGGAAGGACACGGGCTACAACAACAGCAGCTGCCATTTCTTGAGCACCTACTGAATGGGAGGCATGATGCTAGTTCTTTATTTACATTATTTAATCCTTACAACAAATTTCTAAGGGAGGTATTATTATTGGCACATGAGAAAACTAATGCTCAAAGATGCAGGGCCAAAGTATAACCCACATTTGTCTGACTCCAAAAAACAGCATATAAATAGCAAACTTCAATTTAAAAATATGATAATCCCTTACTCCCTGAAGGCAATCCTACCTTGCACTTTCCTTTTCCCAGAAAAAAAGAAAAAAAAATCAGGGAGAGGAAAGCAGGGCAGGTTGTACCTCATACATAAACATTCACACACACACACACACACACACACCACTTATATTTGTCACCAACACCCTGGATTTCATAGCTAGGATGGGGGATAATGAGTGAGTTTCCCCAGGCTCCTAGCCCCCTTCCCTGGTGCTAAGTAAATATGAATAAATACCAAATAAATACACCGAGGGCCAGGACCCACCCTGTCTTCCCGCTCCCTCCTGTGACCTGCAGGCTAGAGACGGCAGTTTAGTAGATAGGGTACTGTCACCTAGCCCCTTTCCATTCACCAACACATCACTGCCTCCCAGGGCAGGAAGCCAGGGCAGGGCCAGCCTGCGCATTGGGGCAGAGAGGCAGGCAGGTCTCACCCTCTACACCTCCCTACTGTGTTTTAGCAGGAGGCAGATGCAGAAGCCTGTTCCTTCTCCCAGATGAGTCGGAGGCCCCGGCGCCCCAAAAGGGCAGCCGGGACAGTGAGGTTATTTCCGGCCTGCCCAGGGACGCTTCCGAAGGATCTTCAGAATCTCTGCCCTGCGTTGCAGCCAGTCTTGGGGAGGAGGGCGTGGTGTTGAAGGGACTGGCCTCGGGACAAAGAAACTGTACCGCAGACGTGCATTCTGTGGGTTGCCAGCCACCAGAACTTGCAGCGTCAGGGGCTGGGCCAGGGGCCCATGTCCAGACAGTGTCTCTGAGGCTGATGTGGCTCCGCTGTATCTCAAGCTGACTGCCCCAGGAAGTAACACATCTGTTGGGGAGGGCATCAGCGTGTATTCACCATTGAGGGCGTAAGAACCATCTGAAAGTTTCAGGGCTAGGTAGATGCTCTTGAGTCCAGACCCTCCCTGCTGCCGTACAAGGATATGGGTGGCACCAGCAGGGATTGTGACCACATCGCTGTATCCGTACCTGTGAGGAAAAAGTAAGTTAAGAACTCAGCATTTCCCGAATCCCTTCCTTATTCTCTCTCTCTCTCTCTCTCTGTGTCTCTCTCTCTCTCTGTGTCTCTCTCTCTCTCTGTCTCTCTCTCTGTGTGTGTGTGTGTGTGTGTGTGTGTGTGTGTGGTGTTAGGGGTTGCTTCTTCAAGCTTATATGAAGTATGTGTCCACCCTAGAACAGAACGACCAGCATGTATACCTTCCTTACCCTTATTTCTGGACACTTACTACTGCTTATTGACTGTCTTGCCAGTCCTGGCCTCCCTGGGGCCTATCCAATTCCTATTCTTTGCTCAGAGGTCATCGCCCAAGGAAACCTTCCCTGATGCCTTCAAGAGCTCTTGTGCCCTCTCTGTTCAACACGTGGAACATCACATTGTAATTGCCTACTCATGCGTCTCCCCCGAGGCTACAGCAAGTGTTGAGTCAGCAGGAAAGCACTGGGCCCCAAGACTAGAACAGCAACCAGGAGAACAGAGTGGAGAAGAACTGCTCAGAGGACCTGAATTTTTTGAAGGAGCCTGACTGCTTGCTGCAGCGAGAGCCATCCCCGCCGCACACCATGCACTTGTCAAATTTCTTTTTGGAGCCAATGATCCGGTCACAGCCAGCATGGATACAGCGGCCCTGGACACAGACAGAGGAGGTGTCTGGGGAACAGGGAGTTCCATCTGCCACCTGAGGAGTAGAGGAGGGACACTGTTAAGAGTTCTTGCTAAGTCAGCAGGGGTCTGTAAGCTAAACATCTGGAAAGTGGCATTGGAAAATAACAGGTTAGAAAGGGAAGGAGTGAGCCTTCACCTATACGGGATTAAGACGATAATAAAGATACACACAGCCATTGTTCCTGCATTGACTATGAATCAGGTGATGCACAAAATGCTTTAGGTCTCACAACTGCTGTGTAAGATTTCTAAGGGTGAGATTTTGAGGTTTAGAAATGTCACAAATTGAGAGGGTAAGGATTTTTAGTTGCAGGACCAAACTCTAAACTTAATGGTACAGGCTCCAGATGGCCACTAGAGGGCAATAAACTTGTAGGAATTTTGTATAGACTCCCGGAGAAGTGAGGGGGTCCACAGCTGCTAGGGCTTATTTTGCCTTAAACTGACAATTCTGTGATACAAAAGGAGTGTCCAAGTGTTAGTGGTCTTCAGGAAGTCTACCCATTGAGGGACTGGCTGTACAAGAACCAATACTTTGACAGAGGAGTCCATGGATAAGTAAGTCAAGGATTTCCCCCAAAAGGTTACATGCTTCCATTCTCACCAAATGTGGTGCAAAAGAACAGAGAAAGGGAACAGCAGAGATGCAAGCCGGAGCAGCGTCACTGGATGCTGATCCAAAGCCAGGTCTCTGTTCTAATACAGGACAACCATGGACAGACAAGGCTGAGTGAACCTGTATGCTGAAATGGCAGGACTGTGGGATTGCCAGCATGGATCTGCAGGGCATGAAGGTTTCTGGTCCTCACCCGTGGCTCCAGCACGTAGTAGTAGCCCAGTGCCCGGGCCTGGCAGGTGAGTTTGCACTGGTCTCGAGGGGCTACACCTGTGTAGCGCGGAACCCAGTCCATGGGCCCTGGAAAGCTCTTGAAGAGGTCGGTTCGGTGGTTGTAGGCAGCACACTGCTCTTCACGGAAGGTCAATGCTATAGGCATAAAACAAACAACCTGAGCCTCTCTCGCCTCATACCACCCCACATGGCCTTCCGCCTAGTCCCTCGGAACTGTAGCCAGCAAAGCGTGTCTCCCTCACAGAGTTCCAGGAATAGTTCTGGAAAGATAAAGACATTTCTCCAGCAGTGGAGACAATCAGCACCAATACTCAAGGCACTTCCTGTCCACCACCCCTTCCCAGGGCTCCCGTCCTTCACGCCCTCACCTGAGCCGAGTGGGCAGTTCTCAGTGTTGCAGGAGCGAAAGCGGGTACGACGGCCCTCACAATACTTGCCACCATTCCGGGGGGTGGGCCTTGTGCAGTCCCGGGAGGAGAACTGGACACCACCCCCACAAGTCCTGGAGCAGTCACCCCATGGTCCCCAGGGACCCCAGCCTCCAGCCTGAGGAATCTGCGAGGGCACAAAATGGAGACGGGATGAGCGCACTCTCTCCCAGGCTTCGGGCCGTCCTTTCCACAGGCCTCTTATCCACGCCCCGGGCTCTCACATTGAAGTCCTTGAGCTGGTCCACGTGGAGACAGCGGCCACCCATGCAGGCCTGTGCAGATCCGCAGGGAGTGCCATCAGCCCAGGGCGAGTGCTTAGTCTGACACATGGCATGGCCGTTGAGGTGGCCAGAGCACCAGAGGGCAGCACAGGGCGGTGGCAGCTGTGGACAGTGGCTTGAGTCAGGACCAAAGGTCAGCTGGCACTGGCGGTCAGCATCATAGTCCTTGCCAGGAAACGTCACTGGCAGATGCAGGGGGGCCTCTGGTTTGTCAAGGAGGCAGTGCCCTGAAAGGGGGTTAAGATACAGCGTTAGCAAGGGCCTGAAATTTAGTATGACCAGCTAAAGCTGGGCCTCCCCCGTGCCTAAGGTACCCTCAGCTATGCTAGACTGAACGCTTACTACGTGATCAAGACTAGTAAAGCCCTGGTCCATAATATCTCATTTACTTATCACAGTACTGTGGGATACTGGCTATTATTACATCTAGTTTGCCTATTAGCTAACTACAAGCACAGAGAAGTGAAATAATTTACAGCCACGTGTCTACATGTAAACAAAGAACCCAAAGTACTTCCACCTGTCTTCCCCGGCTGCAGAATTTATCATCATCATCTTCATCATCATCATCATCATCACTACTTGTAGTGAGCTGGCCTGATGCTGCTTGTCTTCTAATGCTAATACTGGTTCCTCAAGACCTGTTGCCCCCAAGTTTGTTTTTGTTTGTTTGTTTGTTTTTGTTTTTTTTTGAGACAAGGTTTTTCTGTGTAGCCCTGGCTGTCCTGGAACTCACTCTGTAGACCAGGCTGACCTCGAACTCAGAAATCCTCCTGTCTCTGTCTCCCAAGTGCTGGGATCAAAGGTGTGCGCCACCACTGCCCGGCAATAAGTTCTTTTTGATTGGTGAATAAAGATGTGTATAGCCAATAGCTGTGCAGAAGAGACATAGGTGGGGTTTAGTGTTCTGGGCTTGGGAGTTAGAGGAGAACCAGGACGGGGACGAGAAGCTGAGGCATGGAGAAACCCCCATGGATTAGTGAGTCATGAAATAACGGCCATGTGGGTTGGCTAGTTGGTGTTGAGAGCATCCCAGACAAACATGTCAAATTCTTTAATAGGATTATTGGCCGGGAAACAGACATAACAGCGCAGAGGATAGAGAACGGCTCAGCTCTTGTGCTGATGAAGGCTGATTATAAATATAAAAATTGTATGTGTCTTTTATCTGGGAACTGAACGTTCAAGGTGGGATAGAAACCCCAGATTGGGATTAAATTTTCTATAACAACTACTAGTACTATTTTATTTTCTATTTATTATTTATTGACACTGTAGCTGTCCTCAAACACACCAGAAGATGGCATCAGATCCCATTACAAATGGTTGCAAACCACTATGTGGTTGCTGGGAATTGAACTCAGGACCTTTGGAAGAACAGTCAGTGCTCTTAACCGCTGAGCCATCTCTCCAGCCCCAGTATCTGGGTTTTCGAAACCATTTTTAAAATCACATTTACGTATTTATCTCAGGAGAATAGAGTTTGTACCTGTCACATCACATGTACGGAAGTCAGAGGGCAACTTGGAGAGGTCGGTCATAAAACTATTAGGTTTGCCAGTAAGTAAGTGCCTTAACCTGCTGCGACCATCTTGCCAGCCTTATTTGGAGTCTTGTGGGCAGTTTCACTCTATAGCCCCAGATAGCCTGGAACTCACTATTATACCACTCGAGCTTGCCTGGAAGCCATGTGACAATTCTGCCTTCGTTTCCCAAATGCTAGGATTCTAGACATGTGCTACCACTCATTCCCTTCCTCTTCCTTTCTCTCTCTCTCTCTCTGTCTGTCTCTGTCTTTGTCTCTGTCTCTTCCTCTCTCTTTTTCTTTCTTTTAGAGATGTGGTCTTCTTGGCTGTCCTAGAACTCACTACATAGACCAGGCTAACCTCAAACTCACACAGATCCACCTGCCTCTGAGTGCTGGGATTAAAGGGATGTGCCTCCATGCCCATCTGTAGAATTCTCTAGAATGCTTCTAATCAGTTACTTTAGGGAGCTGGGGAGATGGCTCCACAGTTAAGAGTACTTGGAGAATCTTGAGTTCAATTCCCAGCAACTACATCAAGTGACTCACAAATTGCCTCCAGCTCCAGGGGGTCCAACAGCCCTTTCCTGGCTTCCAAGGGCACCTGCAAGCATGTATATACACACAGAAAATAAACTAAAATACAAACTTTTGTCTGGAGATAGTCTGCAGTCTTGCACACCTTATTGAATGGCAAGGTGATTAACTGATTTATAGCCAGTCCATTTCACTCTTGGACAGTGCTGGCCATTAGAGGGTCAATTCTAATTGTGTGGAGCCAACATTCCTGACACTCCCTTACCTGTGCTAGTTGTTGTCAATGGAAGTGGGAACCACACCAAGACAACAGCGTTCCTCACCCCATCACATACAGTGGAGGAAACAGACATGGAGGACTCAGTGTGGCCCACAGAGAATGTTCTAGAAATAAGAGTCCAGTGAGAGAGGGTAGGAATTGAGTCCCTACTTTGAGAAAAGTGTCAGCAGTTTACCATAGCCATTGTCCAGGAAGTCAGTGATGAATCGGGCACTGCAGGGGGACCAGGGCTCTTCAGGGTCCACATGGGCCATGACAGGAGCCATGACATGGCGAGAGGAACCCCCCTGCCCATTCAAATTAGCACAGGGCTTGGAGTTATCATGGAGCATGTTGAAGACATGGCCTATAAGAGAAAAGGTCTGCTAGTATCCAGAGGGTCCGTCCTGTGTCCTCACGGGGCTCCATTACACTTGGTCGCAGCTGTCGACAATCAGATCCTCCTTCCCGCCCCCTCTCAGATCTCCTCACAGTTCTCTGAAGACTCACTGGGTAGCCTCTACTGCCCTGTCTTGTCGTCCCCAAAGGCAAAGCCCCCCTCTGCTTACTTCTCACTGTAGCTAACACTCCCACCCCTCTACTTCTATCCCCTTCCAAACACATACACTCAAGTGCATACATACAGCTCAAAGTAACTTTCCACCTGCTGTTTTATTTAGTAGAAAAATATCTACGTTTGTCTGTACTCAGAACACAGAGGGATTCTGAACTTGGGCCTCGGGGCTGGGGAGGAAGATATCTTGGTACCCCCATTCATACTCTAGTGAGCCCCTTATATCATTAGAGCATCCTCAGTCCCTCCCTCACATCCACTTCAGGTGCCACACTACCCCAGAGCTGTCTTACCCAGTTCATGAGCAGCGGTGAAGGCTGACTGGAGCCCGTCGTCCTCCACAATAGCACAGCTCCTTGCTGGATCACACACTGTGCCCACATCAGCCATACCCAGAGTGTCACAAGTGGAGACCCCACACAGGTCCTGTGGAGAAGGAGCACAGAAGATGCTTGGGGCTGATATCCAGATTAGTGAGGAAGTAGATGCTGGATACCCAGCATGGTCAGGGCCCACATAGGCACCCCAAGGCTGTGTGGCCGGCACCAGGCTCAAGTGCAATTCCAGTAGCATCTTCTCCATCACGGTCTGTGTAATGGGTGTGCCTCTCTGCGCTGTGGTCCCTTGCCTGTGTTGCTGACTGAGGCCTTACCTGCCGAGTGAACAGAATAGCTGTGTCAAAGTGGTCAGGATCTGAGTCGTCAGGGGTGTTGAGGCCCCGCTGCCAGGTGCAGAAGCTGCGTAGGGTCTGGGCGGCACTTGGTCCCACTTGGGGCCCTTCCTGGCCTGACCCCAGAATCACCAGGCGCGTCACCACCAAGTTGACAGGGTTTCGGATGCTTGGGTGCTTAAAGGCTTTAGCAGCGGCTGCCATGACCGTCAGCAGGTAGCGCTTTAGCCCTGTACCGTGGAATGCTGCCATCTTGTCGTCTGCCACCACCAGTGTCTCCACGAATCTGCTCAGAGAAGCGAAGCGCTTGAAGAGAGAAAGAGAGAGAGAAATGAGAGGAGGGTCCTGAGATCTCTCTCCCCTCCCTTCATTCCTGGGTCTAAAACTCAGCCGAGTTAGCTGGCCCTCACATACCCCAGGATTCCTGAAGTGACTGGTTTGGGCCTTCCCCCAACCCCAAATCCCATCACTTTTGTGGTAATGTTGAAGAATCAGCTGTTGTTCTGAAAAGAAGAGAAGGCTTGCCACGTTTCATGGCTAAGTGGGCCCCAGAAGTGAAAAGCCTCTGGGACTGCCTCGGGGAGGAGGGGCGCTAGGGTCCTCAAGTGTGGCGGGGTTGTGGGAGTGGGGCTAGAGCGCTGAGCCGAAGTGTCTGCCCTGTGTGGTTGGAGGAACAATTCAGTCAGCAGCTAGGGCCACAGCCAGATCTCAGCGTGGCGGGTGTGGAAGGAGTGTCTGGTCTGGATTAAAGCTAGAGAAGGGGAGGGGGAGAAGGGAGGAGACCCAGAAGTGGGAGGGAGGAAAGGATAGCGCCGCAGGCAGCCTTGCAGTCAGCCCACAGTGTGGGAAGAGGATTGACCCAGAGGTATGGGATGCCTGCCTACTCCTGTCCTAGTTTGCAGTTTGCCAGAACAATTTTAAAGGGAACATCAGAAGCCAAAAGCTCGATCCCTCAGGCCTCAAATTTTACTCCTGTAGCTGGGGGTGGGGGTAAAAAATCACTGGGGCAGAGAAAAGAGCCTAGGCCAACAGGCTGTTGGGAGAGCTTTACTGCTGGGAACTGTGTCAGCAGGAGACTCCATGGCCAGGAAGGGGCGGGGTAGGGAGGGGGAGAGGTCATTCCGGCCCAGAGAATCTGACCTACCTCAGGGAATCCTCAGAGCAAAGCAAAGGACTCTGAAGCAGGGAGAAGCCAGGATTTTTCAAAGAAAGGGTAGTGGAGATAGGAAAGGCAGAGAGGAGGAGAGAAGCTGGAAAGCTACAAGTGGAAGTGGGAAGAGAGAGGGTGAATAGGGGTCAGTAGGACAGACATGGCGGGAGGATGATACGGGACGCGATCTCCAGGGTTGCCTACCTTGGTTCTGCGGGAAATGGGACTGGGGCTCCCAGAAGGAGCCTTGACGTTGCACATGGGACCTTGGCTGCTGGCAGGACTCTTCCGGCGCAGGATGTGAGCCCCTGGTCCCCCAGCAGAGTTAAGGGCGCCTCCTTCCAGAGGCTGGAGGTGGAGTTCCGCCCCCCGGTACTGCAATACCCCTAATAGGGCTCCCCCGTCCCAGTGCAGAGATGCCACCGACTCCGGATCTCCGTTGATGATGCCAGTCAGGTAGGTACCTGGTTCCGCCCCACCAAGCATCTCAGGTGCTTGGCCCAGGTACTGCACTGTCAGCCCCTCTACCTGCACCCCAGGGTCCTGTTCCAGTTCTAGTACCAACATCTCCCCAAAGGCTGGCAGTCGGTACCGCAGCCTGGCAGGAATGCCTGAGCCAGGTATGATGCTACTGCCGTTGAGCTTCTCTGGAAACACGATCTCCTCCTCCCGGGGCAGGGGGCTGGCTGACCACGCTAAGGGCAGGAGGGAGGCCAGCAGCAGCAGCAGCCGCCACCGCTCCAGACCAGAGAAAGGCACAGTGTGAAGCGGCAAGAAGGGTTGGCATCTTTGCAGCCAGTGCCCAGTCAAGCCCCTCCTGGGATGCAAGCACATCTGGGACATGGTACCGGTGCTGCAGCTGGAATGGATTGAGGCCATCTGAGGCACCAAAATCCTCCACACCCTAACTGTGGAAGGCTCCTCGTTAAAGCCAGAAGGGCTCGCACTTGTGCCAAAATCTGAGGCAAAGTTTTTAGAGGAGCTAGGGACGTACAGAGAAGATGAAAAATAAAACAGCCCCTGAGCTCAGGAAAAGTGCCCAGGGTGTCTCTGTCCTCCAAAACTTCCTCCTGTGCCTTTCTGTCCCAGGTCTTTGTCTGTGACTCCTTGGCTTCTCCCTCTGCTCAGCTGTCTGGCTCTGCCTCAGTGCCTGCCCTGTCTTTACCTCCTCCTGCTATCTCTTTGTCTCTGTCTCTCTCCTCTTCTGTCTCTTTCGTTTCTGTGTATCTGTGGGTCTCCCCGGGTTCTTCCCAGCCTCTCTCCCCTCCAGCTCTTTTAAGCATCCAGAACCTCCCTCCCTCTGTGTGTGATTGGCTGATCTGTAAGCCACTCAGCCAGAAGCTCGGTCATTAGGACTCTGAAGGATGGATGTATCATTGCTTCCCAAAGACCTTAGTGGTTTTTTCCCCCTTAATAAAGAAAGGAAAAAAAGGGGGGGGGGACTTGCCCAGGAGAAGGGAATCTCTAGCAACCAGATGCATTTTAGGCACTGGGCCAGTTGATGACACATCCTTTTCCCAAATCCCACCATCAGCCCTCAGCTGTCTCTTTCCCAGTTTTTTTTTCTTTTTTTTCTTTTTGTGGGACAGATCCCCAGGGGAGGTAAGTACTGGGGGAAAGGGCCAGACAGCACTCACAGATGAGATTCTATCCTGGGAGAATTCATATCTCTACTGTCCAGCCTGGTCTAGCCTATGCTTCCTCACTTCCTGAGTGTCATTTACACTGCCCTCTACCCCAGAGGCTAACCTGTTAGAGCCAAGCCATCTGGGTTAAAAAGGAAGTGAAGAACAGGTAAGAAAGCATAAGAGAGAAGAAAGAATGGTACCAAGCCAGTGGGAAGAAGTGGTACAGACAGGAAGGCAAGGAGACAGCAGTTAGAACTTTGTTAGAATGGAAACAAGAAACAGGCGACAAAGGAGAAGCTAACTACTTTTCTTTTTATAGGAGGAAGATCCAGAGTAGATCTGTTCTCATTCATTCTCCTTCTTTTCCTCCTTCCCTCCCTCCCTCCCTCTTTCCCTCCTTCCCTGTCTAACACCCCCCCCCACGCCCTGAGTTACTCCTACCCTATCCAAAGCATAGAACAGCCATTCCATCTCCTCCCCAACTTCCTGAATGCCCATCCTCCCAGTAGATTCCCTGAGGCTCTTGGCCCTATTCCTACCCACACCCAACTACCCCAGCACCACACCCCCACTTCCTCAAGTCAGCCAGCCCCTCACCTAGACAAGACCTGTTCTCTCTCTCTCTCCCTCTCTCTCTCTCTCTCTCTCTCTCCCTCTCTCTCTCTGAAACCCAGAATTAATCTCTGCTACTCCCTTGACCCCCACCTTTGAAATCCAATAGTTCCTGGAATATCTAGTAATCTTTGACTCTTCATTCTCCATGGGAGGGAGGGGGAGAGAAAAGATAGCATTTCAGTTTGAGGGTACTAAGAGAACCAAGAACCTGGAACCTAGGATGGGGATAGTGACAGGTGTGTGCGTGTGTGGGGTGTTAGAGGAGGGAGCTAATGAGTTCTCTGCTTCAGAATCGGAGGAGACAAAGAAACCAAAGCACATACTTTCAAGGCAAGGAATCGAAGCATTCAGGAGTGGTCCTATTTCTGCTCACTTCACCCTGTGGCCACTTGTTTCCCCAGGAAATCCCCAGGAAGGAGAGTACACTCAGTAGTCCCTTCCCTTTCCCAGAGAAGCACCACCTCCCCGCCCCTGTCCCCTTATTCACTCTCTGCCTGGTCACCTCCTGTCCCCACATCACATACATCAGCATGCTTCCTCTCCCCCTCCCTTCCTGCTCCCATCACTAATACCTGTCCTGGTGCCTATCATTTCCTGAATTACCCACCCTGTGGTGACTTCCAGTCTTGCCTCTTGACCCATCACATGCCCTGACCCTCCCTGGTCTTGAGCAGAGGGGCTGAGGCAGGAGGAGTCAACCACACAAGGGACGAGGGACCAGAAGGGACAGGGGCAAGAGGAGCTGTCACCAGGATACTCTTATTGCCCCTTTCCATCCCCCCATCTGAGCTGAGAACAAAGAGTGTGACTAAGCAGTGAAAGACAAAGGGCCACAGAGTGGCAGCACCAGCACGTGGGGGGTGCTGGCAGAAGGAGAAGGCACAAAAGATGTAGTGTTCTAGGTAGCCCTCCAAGAGCCCTCATCCCAGTTTCTGCCCGAACTACCCCCAGGACTAAGTAAGCTGGAATGTGTCTTGACTTCACATAGGATGGATTAACACAAAAATGAGTACTCCCCCTCCTACTATCACCAACATTTTGTGTTTAAACTATACTGCAGGGGAAGAGGCCCAGAAAAGGAGAGGGGGCTGTAGAGGGTAAATGGACCAAGCCTCTGCCCTGGCTTTCTGGGGGTCACCTTGTCTACGCCAGGTCTTGGTCGGTTCCCACAGCCAGCGGATCTCTGGCCCCACCCTTTGGGATGGTTCCCATTAGGTCAATTTTCAGTCTAGAAATCTGGCTTTGTCCTCTTCCTCTGCAGCTAAGAATACTCAGTGCCACTCCCCTGGTCTGTCTGCTCCACCCAACTGCACCGCTGGTGGGCTAGGTCCCAGGGACCCTGTCTGGGGGAGATGTGGAGGAAGTCTCTTTCCAATGAGAAAATTGTAGAACCTCAAAGAGTGGGTGGCCCAGCTGGAGCTGGGCTTGGAGACAAAAAGAGACAAAAATCACTCTCCAAGGCAGGAAAACTCTTTGTCCATACAAAATTAGGCTCAGAGTCCTGGAATTATTACATTTCTATGTTGTTAGATACTTCTGAGGAAGACTGTGGCAGGTAAAACTGTCCCGAATGGAGGTGGGATACCAGGAGCTTCTTGAGTCTGTGATTTAGGAATTACAGGGATTTAAGAAACACTGTCAGAGCATCTCCCCCTCCCATTTGTAAAATGGTGCCTTGCACCAATTGCACCCTTGCTCCACCAAAGCTTGTGGCCTTGGCTGTGTATTCCCTTTTGTTTTGGCGAGTTCTCGGATTCGACTTGCCCAACTGCACTTGAGTCCCTTTCCACAAGTCCGATTCCGGACATCTGGAAATTAACACTTTTGGATTTCGTAGTAAAGGGATAGTCATCAAAACTTGGGGTTTCAGTCGAAAGCAGGACTACCACAGGAGACTGACCAAGATGGAAAGGAATAGTCAAGGAACGCCCATACAGAGTGTAACGTAGGGGACCTAGTGGGAGGACAGTTTCGAAAGTAAATTCTAGAGCAGAGAATGGACGTAACGGTAAGTGTAGGATTCAGCGCGAATTGGCCTTAGGAGATACCGGTTAATTTCTCTTCCGCCCAGAAAAGCCGTGGGAAAAACGCCCTTATTAAAGATGACAGCAGGCGTTGTTATTTAAGCGCAAGTGACGCTGAGAAGCGGAATCCGGATGTTGTTCCGTTCGCAATTGACCTCCTTGCCAGCTTCCAAGATGGTGACTCCATTGTGCCAATAGAAGGGAAGCTCACAAGGAGGCGCGCGGGAGCCACTTCCGCCCGATTCTCCTTCCTACGGTCTGCAGCCCAGTAAAGATGGCGGCCCTGAGGGCTCTTCGCTGCCTCCGCGGTGTCGGAGCTCAGGTGCTGCGGCCCGGGTCTGGGATCCGCTTGCCGAGTCAGCCCAGCAGGTGAGGAGAAGACGGCTCTTCATGCGTTCTCTTCAAAACTGGAATTTCTCGAGTCTGAGGACATTTCAAGGGCTCTGTGACCCCTAAGGAAAAGAACGACCCAGGCCCGTGACCCTCCTTAAGAAGACCAGAGTTCTTAGGTTTCTAGATGTAGTCAGCGTCCTGTGGCGGAGGATGGGAAAAATGTAGATGATTTTTTTTTTTAAGGTCAGGAAGCAAAATATGTGGGGTGAAATATTAGGGCAAATGAATGGAGAGAACTTCCCATATCCGAAGGAACCCCCCCTCCTCTCTGAGCCCTCTCTCCTCAGTTTCTCTCTTCCCTCTTTCGCTCGCGTCTTTCGCTCTTTCCCTCTCTCCTCACGCCTTCCCTACTCCCCCTGGCCCCCCCTCCCCGTTTCTTAGTAATCTTAGGTTTACCATGAATTCTCAACATTCCTATTCAGGAAGGAGCTTAAACCTCAGCATTGAATATTGCAAACATCTGTGTCAGTGACTTGGCATTGAAGAATATCCAGCTCTGCAACTCAGGCCATCCTCCCTTGGGTTCACATAAGAGTGGATAGCATATTTAGGAATATATATGTATATACAAGGAATACGTGTATGCCTGCAGTAACAACTAGTGAAAAAGCCATGAATTTGAAGGAGATTCGGGAGGGGCATATGGGAGGGTTGGAAGGGTAAGGGAAGGGAGAAATGTGATTACATTACAATCTCAAAAAAATGTTTTTGGGAAGCAGTGAATAGGAACAGAGGAACAAAGCATACTGTTGATGCCCTTTGTATAGGATCTGTCTTTAATTCCTCAGAGGTGCTCGGCAGTGGCAGCCCGATATAGAATGGGCAGAGCAGTTTTCGGGAGCTGTCATGTACCCCTCCAAGGAAACAGCCCACTGGAAACCTCCTCCTTGGAATGGTGAGTGCTAAGAGCTGCTGTTTCAAGTTGTCAGAAATCTTTGCTGATTTTGTTTGTTTGTTTGTTTGTTTGTTTGTGTGTTTGCTTTTCAATTCAGCATTTCTCTGTGTAGCCTTGTGTGTCCTGGAACTCACTATGTAGACCGGGCTGGCCTTGAACTTAGAGATTCTGCCTGCCTGCCTCTGCCTCACGAGTGCTGAGATTAAAGGCATGTACCTCCACTGCCTGGCTAAATATTTGCTGATTTTTAAATGCTTTTGAGCTCCCTGTTGAGGGCAAAATGTGATAATATCAGAGATTTATCAGAGAAAGAAAGGAATGATAGTTATCCTCAATACTGAAAGGTCCTTACCGTTACTCAGTATCAACTTTTTCCAGATTCCATACACTTCCATCTCTCTGTGGACAACATGACTTTCCTAATAGCATTTGAATGAAACCTACTTAAATATAAGCATCTTTACCCCCATCTAAACTAGGGGTTGGGGGCTGGAGAGATGGCTTTGAAGATTTATTTATTTAACGTGTATGACTGTAGCTGTCTTCAGACACACCAGAAGAGGGCATCAGATTCCATTTCAGATGGTTGTGAGCCACCATGTAGTTGGTAGGAATTGAACTCAGGACCTCTAGAAGAACAGTCAGTGCTCTTAACCGCTGAGGCATCTTTCCAGCTACAAGAGATGGCTTTGAGTTAAGAGGATTTTCTGCTCTTGCTGAGGGCCTGGGTTCAATTCCCAGCATCCATATCAGGTAGCTTACAACTACCTATAACTCCAGTTCCAGGAGATCCACTGATCTGGCCTTTTCAGACAGCTTCCTATAGGGGGTAAACATTCATAAATATAGGCAAAGCACTCATACACATAAAATAAAAAAATAAGTAAGTTGTGAAAATAGAAGAAGATCCAGAGAGCTACCTTATCTTTAAAACAAAACAACAATAATGACGCAAAACCCAACCAATTAGTGTAGCAGGTCTTTGCTGTTCTGTGGGTTCTTCTTTTTCCTACTCTTTGCCTCGCCCCTCACTTTGCCCCCTGTCACTAGATAGGAGAGAAGGAAAGATCTAGGTGGAAAGAGAGACTCCTGAATCTAATTTCTTTCCTTTTGTTTCTTCTTTGAGCATGGCTACTAACCTTCAACCAACCCCTTGAGTACCCATCACTACTACTCCGCCTCTTGGGGCCCTAGTGTTTATACACCATCTGAAAAGTTTTCAGAATTCCAAATGTCATACAGTCTGAGAAACTATTTGCAGCTGGGAAAACCACACCTCTGCTAGAGGCAAATCATAGTCAAAAGACAGTCCAAAGCAGCTCCCACATGCCCACACCTGGGATTAAAACAGAAGCACATTAAAATATTTCTCTGTTTTTAAAGAAACCCAAATTTCAAAATTGTCACAACAACTTAGCTCTTTTGTTTTTCATACTCTGAAACAGGGTCTTGTGACAGGGGTACGGCTCAATGGTTAAGGGCACTTGGTCTTTAAGAGGACCTGAGTTCAGTTCCCAGCACCCATAACCATCTACATAGCTCCAGTTCCAGGAAATCTGCTGCTCTTTTCTGCTCTCCAAAAGCACCAGACATGTGTCTTAGACACACACACACCTCTCTTACACATAAAATAAATAAATCTTTAAAAGGAGAGAAAGGATCAGGGTCTTGGCTCGATCAAGATCTTCCTGAGCTTTCCATATGCTGGGATTACTTTCCCTCTTGATCTTTTGTTTTTGATCAGTGGTACCCAGAATGTCTTTCAATACGGAAACCATTTAGTCATCTTGTTTTTTTCTCTCTTTTGTCCTCCATATCTTTGTCCAATAAGTCACCAAACCATGTAGAGTTTTCCACCATTTTTTTTTCTTTTTTTTTTTTTTTTAAGACAGGATTTCTTTGTGTAGCCCTGGCTGTCCTGGAATTCTCTCTGTAGACCAGGCTGGCCTCGAACTCAGAAATCCGCCTGCCTCTGCCTCCCAAGTGCTGGGATTAAAGGCGTGCGCCACCACTGCCCAGCTCATTTCTCTTTTTTAATTAAAAACAATTTTCAGGCTGAAGAGATGGCTCAGTGGTTAAGAGCACTGACTGCTCTTCCAGAGGTCCTGAGTTCAATTGCCAGCAAACACATGGTGGCTCACAACTCTCTGTAATAAGATCTGATGCCCTCTTCTGGTGTGTCTGAAGACAGCTACAACGTACTCATACATTAAATAAATAAGTAAATAAATAAACAAATAAATAAACCTAAAAAAATAAAAACAATTCTCTTTAGATATATCTGTCTGTGTCTGAGTGTTCTGCCTGCGTGTGTGATTGTGTACCACATGTGTGCCTGACGCCCATGGAGCTGAGAAGAGGGCGTCAGATCCTCTGTAACTGAAGTTACGAATGGTTATGAGCCCATCGCCAGATAGCCTCGGCCTGCCAGCTACCCAATAATGACACAGAGACAATTATCATTTATTTTAGCTTAGGCCTTAGCTATGTGATTTCCCAGTTAGCTTGTATAATCTAATTAACCCATTTATTCTAACCTAAGTTCTGCCACTTGTGCTGTTAGCTACCTCTCGCTACACCCTGGCACCCATTCCTTCCTCCACGTCTGGCAAGCACATTTCCTACCTCTGGCTCTTTCCCAGAGTTTCTATCTCTGCTCAGAACATCTGCCTATCCTCTCCTGCTTTGTTACAGGCTGTTCAACTCTTTATTAAACCAATCAGAAGGTGATGGAGAAGCATAAAACCAGCAATACCAAAGCTAGCTTATACTCAAAAATCTCTTCTGCATGCAGAAGTACAATGATTACACAGTGCACAAGAAATGATCCCACCTGCCGGGCGGCGGTGGCGCACGCCTTTGATCCCAGCACTTGGGAGGCCGAGGCAGGCAGATTTCTGAGTTCGAGGCCAGCCTGGTCTACAGAGTGAGTTCCAGGAAAGCCAGGACTACACAGAGAAACCCTGTCTTGAAAAACCAAAAAAAAAAAAAAAAAGAAATTATCCTACCATGAGCCACCATGTAGGTGCTGGGAACTGAATGTGAATCTCCTGCATAAGCAGGAGGTGCTCTTACCAACTGAGACATCTTTCTAGCCCTCCCTTTTAATTTTTTTAGTTACTTTAATTTTTATGTATGTGTATGAGACCTTGCTTGTCCATATGTGTACTAGGCAGCTTTTTCTTTCTCCTCTTCCTCTTCCTCCTCCTCCTCTTCTTCTTTTTAAAAGATTTATTTATTTCATTTATATGAGTACACTGTAGCTGTCTTCAGACACCAGAAGAGGGCATCGGATCCCTTTACAGATGATTATGAGCCACCATGTGGTTGCTGGGAATTGAACTCAGGACCTACTGGAAGAGCAGGTAGCCAGTGCTCTTAACTGCTGAGCCATCTCTCCAGCCCCACCAGGCAGCTTTTTGTTTTGTTTTGTTTTTGTTTTTTTGTTTGTTTTTTGTTTGTTTGTTTTTCGAGACAGGGTTTCTCTGTGTAGCCCTGGCTGTCCTGGAACTCACCAGGCAGTTTAGACCAGGCTGGCCTCAAACTTAGAAATCCGCCTGCCTCTGCTTCCGAAGTGCTGGGATTAAAGGCGTGTGCCACCACCGCCCGGCTACCAGGCAGCTTTTTAAAAAAGACTTATCTGCATACCAGGTTGTGAGCATCATGGGTTGCTGGAAATTGAACTCAGGACCTTTAGAAGAATAGTCAGTGCTCTTAACCACTAAGCCATTTCTGCAGCCCAAACCAGGTTGTTTTATCAGGACAGTTGTGTGCGTACAGTTGCCTACAGAAAACAGAAGAGGGCATCACATCCAAAACACAGCCAAAACCAGAACAAACAAAAACAACTCTGCCTTTTGGGCTGGGAATGTAGCCCAGTTGATAGAGTGCCTATTTAGCAATCACAAGGCCCCGGGTTTGATACCCAGCATGGCATAAACTGGACTTGTCATTGCTCAGAAAGTAGGAGCAAGAGGATCAGAATTTCAAGGTTACCACCTTCAACTGCATAGTGGTATTGGATTTGTCGTGGCCCGAGCTCATGAGACCCAGTCTCAAAAACAATGAACAGTCCTGTCATTTAGTAGTAATGTTTCTCTTTCTTTTTTGCCCCCTTGAGGAACATGTAGTTCTGGCTATCTTGAACTCACAGATCTACCTGCCTCTGCCTCCTTTGTGCTGATAGAAAGGCATGCACTACCATGCTGAGCTTAAGTGTGTATTTCTCACTGGTTGTCTAGTTATCAGATACATTTAGATATATCATGATACTTAAGGTAAGAAGGCAAGGCTCAGTGGTTAAAGGCTCTTGAATAAGACCTAGGTTCAATTCCCAGTTCTGGGGATCTGATGTCTTCCTACCTCTGTGGGCTCCTGCTCACATGTGCCACACATATGTACACACTCAGGCACACACACCCATAAAAAATAAAATTAATAAATGTTTGCTATCTGTGGTTGCATATGCCTTTCTAGTTGCAGTGCTTAGGAGACGAAGGCAGGTAGATCTCTGAATTCACAGCGTTGTGGTTTACATAGTGAGTTCCAGGCCAGTTGGGGCTATAGTAGTGAGACCCTATCTCAAAACAAACAGACACACACACACACACACACACACACACACACACACACACACACACA